CAGAACTAGGCGAAATGGCGATGGAGGATGAGACAGATAACCGTAGGAGCGAAGGAGGACCAGGCTTAGGAGGCAGCGCCGTACAAAGCAAAGAAGGGCAGACAGATAGAGAATCGATAAATCCAGTTGGTACCAAAGGGAACCGGAAGGAAATCTCCTCAAGGGAAAGCTCGGGGAAAGCCGGGGGAAGCAGGCAAGGGACCCACGAGACCAAAGAGGGCAGAAATAAGGATAGGACAAGCCCCCGGAATTCAGAGCCCCTCCAGCAGTCCCGGAATCGTTGCCACCTTGGTCTGTTCTGGGCATATGAAGCCCCTCAAGTAGGGTCTGGTCCCTGCAGCCCAGTCCCCAACATCAGACTTGGGGTCATCCCCCCTAAACTTGTTGGTGGCAGGGATCTTGGGACCTCTCTGATCCCCTGCAGCAACAGCAGCATAGGTGGGTTTGGCTGTGGTCTTTTGGGAAGGAGATGGTGAAGGGGAAGAATGGTGTGAACCAGAATGGATGGAAGAGGGAGGAGAGGAAGGTTTGGGTTTCGCTGAGAGGATAGGAGACAGGGGAGCAATCAGTTTGGTTGTTGTCAGCTGAGCAGTCAGATCCTTGATTGCTGTCAGGATCTTGGACTGCTGAACTGCCAGGTCATCCACCCTGCGCTCAAAACGAGCGATACGGTCATCCCACTTAGTGAAATAGGAAATGGTGCCAGAATGGCCCACTCCACCAAGTTCCTAGTCACCTGGGCACAGCGCTCATCAGACACAACTTTGCCTAGTTGCTCCAAGCCTCCAACAGATACTCCTGTCGAGAAGCATCTGTTGCAGCCTCTAGCTCAGCTGCCTCCTGCCGCTCAAGTTCTGCTAGCAGGGCCTGCTCCTGCTGCAATCTTTCTTGGATCTCCTTCTTCCTGCGCTGAGTAGCAGTCAGAGGTGTAGTAGGAGTGGAGGTAGAAGGTTGTTCACCTTCCACCTTCATGACCACTTCCACCTGTGGCTGCTGCTGAGCAGTCTGGTCCGCCATTTTCCTCTTTCAGAACACCAACAATAAATAAATAGTAGAGAGTATGCAGCGATGTACAGATCCCCTTCAGGCACTCAGAAATCGCTGCTAACTCATGCACAGAAGTCGTGGGTGTATAGGCACAAACGGTTTGGGGTTGGAACTGTTTCTCTGGGGTCAGGGGTCAGACAGACAGTTAGTCCGGCAAAATCAGTCACACGATTTCCTTTTATTGACCCTGCACCACACTGGAGTTAGTAAACACTGTCCGCTACTCTTCCAAAGAACACTAGATTTCCAAAGCCCACTAGAAAACAAGAGTTGTAAGTGGGAATGATAGAACATGGCAAGCATAGAGTAGAAAGGTCAAACAAGCAGAGCGATTCAGTCAAAGACCCTGAATCCTTAGCTCAGACTCAATTTTCGACCTTGATGACTCTGGCAGCCATACCCTAGGGTATGGCGAAGTACAGTATTCACTGTTTCCAGTGAAATACTAGAAATCCAATCAAGCGGTTCTGCAAGAATGACTGTTTTTGAGTTGTGATTCACTGGGGACAGGCAGAACTGAATTCTGACGGACAGAATTGAACTTATGACTGACACTAGATAGCACAGGCTATAATTAGATTCGGCGCAAAACTACAATTCATAGTATCACTACTTTTCCAGTGCAGGATTCACAATCTGAACATCCCAGATCAAGCGCAATACAGTACAGCAGTCACAGAACAATTTTGGATGCAAAAGAGTCAACAGAGGGTGAGAGATGAGCAGAGGAAGATAGGAGAGAGATGGCTATGGCTGTCATGCAGTCGGCGATTTTCAAATCCAGTCACTGACAGATAGATAGACCATAACTACTGACTAGTCTAACCCTATCTGAATCGCTATACAGGTAGGTGCATGGAACGAACTCACTTTCATAGTATCTGGCAAAGGTTGATGAAGATCTGGCTATGGCAGATTGAAACCCTCATTTCGCCAATTTCTTCCAGAGCTTCTTCCCCACCGTCCCACGCACAGAACTGCTCCCAACTATCCTCTTCAGGATCCTGAAGCGCTGCACCCCTTGATGTTAGATTCCCTGAATCTGACCCTGTGGCACCCAAATCGCCAACTGAAGAAAATCTCGCCAGAGGACCTGAGGTCCGCTGATGCTATAAATAGCCCCAGATGGGGTTATTTCTTCCTGAGATTGACACAGACTGTCAATCTACCTCAGCGCTGCTCAAGGATGAAGCCGCTCCACAATCCCTGAAGTCTCCAGGGGTAATTCGCCACTCAGGGGTAGTTCACAATACTACCCTCAGGGTTGGCTATGGCGAATTGACCCTGTTCTCGTCACTTCCAGACAAGCGCCCTGACAGGCTCAGTGCGCTTGCTCAGTGCAAGCACTGCACTCTTGAATCCACCGCTTGAAGTCTTCTTCCTTGCTGACTCAGCAGTGGGGAAGATGAATCGCCATGAAACTCTCGCCAGTATATCGCCAGGATGAAGAAGATGCCCTTAACACTCAACCCTCAGTGCTCCAATTCCAATCTCGCTCTGATACCAACTGTTATGATCTTGGTTGTCTGACGATTTTTACAGCCACTCACACACACAGACAATCTCATACACGCCCAGAGAGGAGACAGAGTCCAAACTGCACACAGATCAGAGTAGATAGCTGAAGCACAACCATGCACAGATGGGGAGAAGACACACAATGTTTCTCACTCTCTGACGATACTCCCAACAACCAATCACAAGAAAGAACATGCGAGAATACAATTGGAATACATACTGATGATGAGCCAAGTAACCAAAAATCGTTACAAAGTTTGTTCCAGTGTCTCGCCACTCTCAGAACCTCACACTCCACTCACTACCCTACACCCAGTTAGTAGTGCCTCCCAGAGGCCAGCGCCAGCCACCCAGATGAAGAACAGGTCCTGCGATGAAGTCTTCAGTGCCGCTGAACAACTCTGACGAAGAACCGGCAGCTATGGCTGTCGCCACCCACATAAACTCAGTGGGGAGTCTCCACACAGCCCAGCCACTCGTAGAAACCCACAGGGGTTGATGCGCAGGGGATGCCCCAGCTATGGCAAGCCCTCAACAGGCTGGCTATGGCTGCTGTCCACGGTGAGGGTCTCAGGGTACCGCCTGCAGACAATCGTCGTTGCAACGCTCCTTGGCTCCAAACGCTGTATCGCAAAAATGAACTGCCAAAAAGTCCTAAGCAGTCCTACGCTAACCTACTTGTAGACTCTACACTACCCTAGCCTACCGCCTACCGGTACCGGTTCAGTTAGGGCCAGCTCGGCCTCTACGAAACCGGTCCTACTACTGCACTTAGGGCTCAGGGCCACTTAGGGCCGGTAACCACTCAGCCCCTACTGCTGTTGGTAGCTATTTTTAGAATAGCGAGCAGCCCTCAGCGCAGGCCAAAAAAAACACAGCAAAATACACAGCATACTGGACATCCACAGCAAGCACACAGCACACTGTACAACCTCGCAAGTCAGTCTCGGCAGTCAAAATCAGCAAGTCATTGCACTCAAGTGTCTGGGACTCCTGCCCAGTACCCGTTGTTGCAAAGTGTATGTCCCAGTATCCTTTCCCATGGTCTGCTGCTGCTTGGGCCATCGGGCCTGTCTCTTGGACTCCTGGTCTGAATCAGGACTGACTCGTGGGACTATGACTGGACTGGGACTGTGGCTTTTGACTCATTGTCGAACAGACATGACTTTCCATCGAGGAGACATGACCCTAACTCAGCTTTGAAAACTGTGTCCAATACCTGTTCGTGCAGGACCTGTTCGTGACTGTTCAAAATGACTTTCCATTTAATTATGGATGCGACATATGCCTTAGGAACTTTGTCTTTTGGGTTGCTGCTCGTGAATTAAGTTCTGGCTGACAGAGCCCCTCGCTGTTGGGCCATTCATCTGGGGTTTAATTCGTAAAGGCCCTTTTATCATGGTGCACATGGATGGAGTGATGATACAAGTGGACCTTTGCACAAGCACACACAATATAGACTCATAAGACACGCCCCTTTCCCAACAGAAGGTAGTCAACAACATGGAGATACAACCGCCGATGAACCCAAACACTTTGCTTCAAACACCGGAAGAACTACTATCTAACATCCCCTAATCCCTTTTCATGTGCTTCAAACAACGGGCCATAGGAAATCTCACCTATAGCACATGTTATCTGACTCTCCCCATATCCGACCCAGGAAACCAGTCAGCAACACATATTCATGGCACTTGGCTGTGACCTGAACCTTTGTATGATGCAAGCACTACTATGTAAAGCATGCTGGACTGCTTTTCTTCGAGAACACATTCCATGCGAAGCATACTCGCAGCACTCTTGTGTTTCTGTGATTACCTGTGTCTGTGTGTCTGTGTGTCTGTGTGTGCTCCTCCATCACTGCAACAAGTGGGCCCGTTGGCACTTTCGTGCACAGCTTAGAAACAAGAAAACCGATATGGAATTTGCCGTTCTTTTTCGCACCCCAGTATAATCCCATATGATGCAAAATTCGGCCTCCCATGTTGTTAGACTTCCCATTCACGCATCCCATCAGTGTGAAGCAACACCAGCCTCTCTGTCACGGCGTGCTTCCCATTCAAGCATCTTGTGGGCCCGATGCAAAGACTAGTCTTCGCATCGGCATGCATCCGAGGCCATGAGACGTGTGAATGAGGAGCATACCACAAAAGAGATCAGGGTCATGTCATCCGCAGGATAGGAAGGCAAGCCTCTCAGTCGAGGCACTTGAATGTCATTTCACAGACGCAGGCGTCCCACACAGCAGATAGCCCGAAACACAAGACTGAGGAAGATTGTGCATCATGCAACAAAATCAGATACGGAGAGTGGAACATGTGCCATAAGTTGGACAGCATTCAAGCACAGCTAGCATACAATTTCCCATACAATTTCCCAAGTGAGGCCTAACCTCTAGCAGGCACAGCAGAAGGAGATGGATAGGGGCCACTTACCCTTAAAGTCAAAATCAAAACCAGGTTGGCAACAATCGCTGCAGCGAGAACCATGAAGAAAAAATCCGTCAACTTTGCCCGTGGATTTACCTGAGCCAAAAGAACCAGACTGTTCAGCGCCAAGCCACCAAAGACAATAACCAACCACATTCCAGTATTCCCTCCTCTCCATAAATACCAACCCCCTTTCCCACACCCCTTTACTTCTCTCCCCTCTTCCCACTCTCCTCCAGCCTTACATTGGGCCTCAGACGGAAGATTCATTGTGTGGAACTACAACTAACCTGAACCAACCTCAATCAGAGTGCTATGGGCTCCTCAGGTCAATGCTTTTGTTTTTTGTTTTTTTTGGAGGGGAGGGGGAGAAGGGAGGGAGTGGGGGGAAGGGAGGGAGTGAGGGTGCAACGAACCTCCCAGCTCAACACCAATGAGAGCACACATTCACACCACTTACATGCATGAGGTCACACGAATTTCACACTGAAGACCAGAGAGATTAAGACCAGATAGCGCAGCTCAAGAATGCACTGGCGCAGCTATGGCTGCCTTCTCCCTGCCAGCGCTATCTTCTCTCTCTCTCTCTCTCACTTAGCGCAGCACTCTGGCCTCGGCGCTCTGCTCCTCACTTCAGCACACAAGTGCAGCAGCACTTCCACACTGCTTGTGAATGAGCAATCTGCCAGAATGTAAGGCTAGCCAGTCCTTTTGTAGTCTTGGTTTGCACTTCAACTCGTGCCAGCCTCTGTTTCTTGGGTCCTGTCTGGTTCCGGTACCACATCCCCACGGCCTGTCTGCTACTGAATGTCAAGGCCTGGAACCTTCTCGAATTTCCATTGGACTGTTGCTGCTTGGGCCCTTGAGTCATTACTTTTCACTTGTGACCATGACTTTTGACTGTGGACAGTGTCTCTTGCCTGTGGGTCACGACTTTTGCCTGTGAGACTACCTTTTACTCGTGGGATGTGTCTCTTCAATATGATTTTTCATTAGGAAACGTGACTCCTGTCTTGAGACATGACTCTTGCTTAGTGAATCCGCCTTTTCACTCTGGAATGTGACTCTTTTGAATGGTTTTTATTATGAAACGTGACTCTTGTCCCCTGAGACATGACTGTTTGTTGGTTGCCTGTTGGACCAGACTGCTAAGGTACCCGATTGTGACTATTCTGAGTTTGACGAGTTCGACCTTTTCTTGGCCTGGCATCTGACCCTGAGATCCGAATTTGGGGTCTGAAACGTGGAAGGCCTTTCAAGGGGAAGAGAAAAGCCACAACAAACAAATATTTTCAGCCATGGTTCCATTGCACTTGTAATGAACCCAGTCTAGCAGATACTCAGAAGTCGTCAAACATCAGTAGTCTCATTAATCTGCATCAAAGTCTTCAAATCGTGAAGTGATATCCCAAACAGTATCTCATTACCATCAAAAGAAGAGAGTGGAGGCGGAATAGACAAAGGAGAAGAAGAGTGATCACACAGTAATAAACCCTTCAGACACCTCTCCTTCTCCGGGCTTCTTCCCTCTCCAAGTCAACAATGATAATAAGTATATTCCTGATCACAAACAATAGTGCCACGTGGCACTTTAGCTCGTGAAGACCATGAAGACATAGCAGATTCCAATGACGACGTCAACCTCAGGTGAATACCCGAACTCCATCCACAGATCCCGATCTTCCTCCTCCTCACAACCAGTCACCTCATGTAGATAGCGTGGACAATGCCACGTCAGCAGTCGAAACAGGTGGCATATGCCACATCAACAATGGAGACCAGAGACAACGCCACATCAACATGCAATGTCGGTAACGCCACATCAGCATGCAATGTAGACTAGAGGTAGCGCCACATCAGCATGCAATGTAGACCAGAGGTAGCACCACATCAGCATGCAATTTAGACCAGAGGTAGCGCCACATCAGCATGCAATGTAGACCAGAGGTGGTGCCACATCAGCATGCAATGTAGACAGAAGTGGCACCACATCAGCATGCAATGTAGACCAGAAGTAGCGCCACATCAGCATGCCACCTCAGCAAGCCTGGTGCACAATGCAGAAAGCGCAAGCATGCTGCCTCCACCTCCTGCCGTCGTCCGCATCGCCAATGCACAGCCAGCGTCGAGCCAGCATAATGCCAGCGTCTAGTCAAAGTCGATCCAGCGTCCAAGTAGCATAGCAAGACCGAATGCTTGACTCACTCGAGGCCAGCCTTAAGTAGTCATTGTCAAGGTTGTCTGGCCTCAAGTGCTTTCCCCACACTCGTCCAGATTGACTCACACTTGAGGACCCGGATTGTGAAGTTGCAGACTTCTCCCTTGGACCTGATGCTGTCTGGGTACCTGCATACAAACAAGTGTGTGTGCTTGACCAGCGGCCTGGGCTAGGTACCTTTGGACTTTGACTGTTGGGATCTCGACAGTTGACCAAAGTCAACTGCCACACGTCCAGGCCTTGAGTCCTCATATGGGGCCTTTTTGCCCCTGTTTAGGCGTGGGCTGAGGGCGGCCAAGTCGGTTCTCAGTTTTCCCACGAGACATATGGCATGGGTTATTGCATTCCCGCCGACCCAGTTATAGAGTTCCATCGCAGAAAATACATTAGTTCTCACTTAACCCCCATTCATATGCAGCAACAATATCAGGAGGAGTAGGTAGGAGTTCTTTCCTACTAAACCATCTTCAGATGGAGGTTGGGACTTGAACATTACCTTATACTGCTTCTGAGGTCGTCCTCTGCCACCTGTAGAGAAATAGCCATGTTCCAATATTTTCTCAACTTCATAGCCTCCATTCATAGAGGGTGGAATCATAGATGGCCTATTTGGAAAATTATCACTTTCAACATAAGGTAGCAGCTTAGACGCATGGAAGACAGGGTATAGACGCATGGAAGACAGGGTATAGACCCATGGAAGACAGGGTATGTCTTGAGGTGTGGAGGTATGTCTATACGATAGGAAGGTCCATCTTCACCTCCAATTACTTTGAGAACTTCCCAAGGCCCATAGTAGATAGGTGGCAATTTCTGAGACACGTTTTCTTCCAAGGAAAACTCTTTAGACTTAACCCAAACAAAATCCCCTTCTTGGAATTGTGAAGGACGTCGATGTTTATTAGCTTGTTCAATCATTTGCATCTGGGTTTTCTGTATGTTTTCCTTCACCTTCTTAATGTCCTCTTCATACAGAACTGCGAATTCACGCGTACCTGCGGGTAGCCTTTGAACCTGGTCCCGTGTTAAGACATTAATGGGACGCCTAGGCTTCCATCCTTTATGCAGTGCGTTAAGTGTTCTTCCTGTAATAGTATGTATAGGCACTAGCAATTTTAGGTAATTTCTCATCCCAATCGATTTGGTCAGGTCGGACATACATTCACAAAAGTTGCTGGCAAAGACGATTCATTTGCTCAGTTTGGCCATTCGTTTAAGGATGTCTGCCTGACGATATGGTCAACCTGGTTTCATAGACTTCCATCAACTTTTGCCATTGTAGACTGGTGAACCGAACATCTCTATCTGATACGATGGTTTTGGGAAATCCATACTCAAAGACCCATCACATTTGAAACTTTTGAATGACGAGTTCGGTTCTAGCTTCAGCAGGCAAAGGAATGAACATAGCAAACTTAGAGAATCTATCAACGATGACCATTACTTGACTGTTGCCGTTTCGACTCTTAGTGAGACTCATAAAGTCAATTGAGATAGACTCACTTGGCTCACTTGGAATTGGCAGCGGTCTCAAGAGCCCCATCAGATTCTCATGTGAGGGCTTGTTCCTCTGACAGACAAGATAAGTCTGCACATACGTTAGTACATCTTCCTTCATTCCTTTCCATTCAAAACGTTCACGTACATCGGCATACGTCTTCTTAAAACCAAAGTGACCTTCCGCATAATGGCATTCCCCGATAATTAAACTCTTGATTAGTTCTAAGTGAGGAACACACAATCGTTCTTCGGTTTTATCTAGCAAGAAGAGTAAGCCATCAGTCATTCGATATTCCAAAAACAACTCAAGGTTTTTTCGTAGAGTTTCAATGATAGGACTCCAAATAGGATCACTCTCTCATAACCCTGGCGAATCTGTTCTTTCAGTTCATTTCCGATATCGAGATAGGAGACAATGGTTCCAAAGAAATTTGCACGCCTGGACAAAACATCCGCAACCACGTTAGACTTACCTTTGATGGTTTTCACCTCAAAGTCAAATGTGTCAAGGAAAGCGGACCACCTTACCAACTTGTCGGAAAGCTTAGGCTGAGTCTTGATCCACTTTAAGGTAGAGTGGTCAGAGTAAACAGTGAAATGTCTCCCTAACAAGTAGTGCTTCCAGGTATCTAGTGCAACAACTAAGGCATACAATTCCCTTTCATAGGTGGAGTTGGCCACTTTTTCTGATGAAAGTTTTCTGCACAGAAACTCAATAGGTCTATATCCTTTACCGTCGTCTTGTTGTAGCACAACCCCAATCCCATACTGACTTGCGTCAGTGGTAACGATGAAAGGAAGAGAAGGGTCAACAATTTTTAGGACAAGGTAGTTCATCAGGGCATGTTTTAACTTTCTAAACGATGACTCACAATCTTTGTCCCACAACCAAGGCTTTTCTTTTTTCAGTAATCTTCTCATAGGAGCAGGCTATCAAGCAGAAGTTTCTGACGAACTTCCTATAGTAGCTAGCAAGTCCTAGGAAAGATTTTAATTCAGTTATAATCTTAGGTTGTGGCCAATCTCTGATTGTTGTAATCTTCTTTTATTCAGGCCTTAGTCCTTCCTCGTTCACTATATGCCCTAAGTACACGACTTCAGGCTTAGCAAACTCGGACTTTTTTGGATTCAATTTGAAGTTTCCCTCACGCAACTTCTGCAAGACCATTCGTAGTTGTTTCTCGTGATCTTCCAATGTCTTACTGTACACTATAATATCGTCGAGATAAACTACTACGAATTAATGGAGCCATTGTCGGAACAACTCGTTCATGGACCTTTGGAAGGTCGCAGGTGCGTTGGTCAAACCGAAAGGCATAACCACGAACTCATAGCGATCATACCTGGTTCGGCATGCCGTCTTGTGTTAATCTTCAGG